ATATATGGCAGTTTCCATTTCATGTTCCATTTTCTTTTCCATTTGATTCTCCATTATTAAAGGGGGATACTAGGAGTTTAGACTATGGCTCATATAACCCTAAGCCCCATGAGTGGAGCCTGAAGGAGATACCGTGAGCGCTCGTTGCAGTTCTATTGCTGTATAGGCCCCTCCAGCACTCCAACCAAAGACCAGCTGAAACCCTACTAAACCCTCAACCTTAAACCCTAAACCCCAAACCCTAAACCCTAAACCCCTAAAACCCTAAACCCTAAACCCTAAGCCCTATGACGAACATGAGCAAGCCCTCTGCTCACCTTGTGGTTTGAAGTTTTGAACCCCCCGAATTAAGGCACGGTCCCAGCATGATATGGCTAGAAATTAGTATGGCTCTAGAATTACATATATATATATAGACACACCCCCCCCCCCCATGATCCACCGACCCCCTGAAGACCTCTTCGGTGGATCATGGGGTGTGTGTGTGAGCTGTAATGGGTATATGTGTATATATACATATACATAAGATGTTGCTGTGGTCGTGAGAGAGGACGGCTTAGCTCTGGAGTTCGCATTTGAAGAGCTTCGCGCTGACAGAGCCGCTGGGAGGCATTGAACACCTAAACCTGCAAGTTAATGGTAGTTAGTAGGGAACAAGGGAATATATTCGGGATAAATAACGAGAATGGAAAAGAAGCTGGAAACTACTATTTAGGATTTAGGGTTTGGGAGTGGTAGGGAATAAGGAGACTTTGGCATTATGCAGGGATCATATTCCGTTATTCCCTAGTGAGTGTCAGTAAATCAACCCTACCTGAACTCCAAGAGTCCGTAGCATAATACCCTTCTGGCTCTCTTCTTGGCTTTGGGCCTCATTATTCTACTTACGTCCCCTAAACCCAAAACCCATCATGCTACATATGTCTGGAGTCCACTGGGCCAAATAGATCTCAGGCCCCCTGGTTTTGCCAAGTTCTGAAACTTGTCTAGGGTTTTGGGTGTTTGCGGCCTGATAGCAAGGAAAGCTTTACATGATTCCGGCCGTAGGACAAGTCCGGGCAACAAGTTAACATCTGAGTCTGCGCCGCGTAGGGCCTATGTTCTGCTCACTACTTATGGCAAGCATACTGTCGGTCTCCTTGCAAGGTTGACCTTGTGAAGGCTCCTTTTATAACATATTGGGAGAGAACTGTAAATCAGATGGGCTTGACGCCAAGCTTTGAGGAGATCGTCATGGAAGCCGTGCAAGTGAATGGCCTAGCACTCTGGGACGCCGACGAGACCCTGAAAGCTGACAGAGAAATCTTGGCTAGTTGCCGATGGGGCTGACCTAGCAGGGTTTAGGGTTTGGGGATGTTTAACAAGTGGCCCCAAGTACAAGAAGAAAACTCGCTTTGAACATATCAGCTCTAACCGTTGTGACCCTAGCATGGCTCGAGCATTTGACAACAGACTCCGTACAGCCGTATAGTCTAGGACCAAGTGCATGTGTTGAAGTGTTGTGTGTTGCCTTGCAAGGTGATATGGTAACGGCCCAAAGCGATAAGTCTAGGTCACTTGCTGCAGGTTCCCCAACCCCTGCGTAGCGATAAGATTCTTCAGACTAAGTCTCCAAACCCTGCACACCGATAAGGTGACCTCCCAAAAGCGATAATTAAAAAATAGGAATAGTAATACTAATCAACAAACGTTGGAAGGCTTGATTCTATGGTTTGGCCACGGGCTCACTTGAAGTGTTCCATAACTTCTTGCGCATGATGAGTGTTGGATTGTAGTCTCGGATGACTTGGTTAGCCATCGTGGATACACTTCAGCCTACAGAAGACGTGTCACATATCCTTGAAGCTGAAATTGTGGGTAGGATAGAGAAGTATTGTGCCTAAGCCGCAACTATCGTAGGATCTGATGCTGGCTGTATTAAAGTTTTGATGATCGAGGAGGTGATGAGGTGTATAGCCCGAGCTGACCTTTGTAAGCCGATAGTAGGGATTGTCGGGGCTTGGGGGTTTAGGGTTTATGGGGCTCATAGAGCTTAGGGCTTGTTCGGCATAAGGGGTATAGCATTTGAGGAAGTATCTTGGTTCTTGCTGGGCTCAGCTTATCTCACCCGTAGGTTCGATGCCATTCATGTGAGCGCTGCGGCAGGCAGTGTGATGTCGCAGTTAAGCTAGGAAGGAGATTCCAAGAGCTAGGACCCCCTTCTGGGCCCTTGATACCCTAAACCCTAAACCCTGATTTTGTTGGATGAAGCAGCCGGAAGCACCCTGTGAGGATGCTAGGTCTTGATTCTGGCTCCTGGCAGCAGTTCCTTGGAATCTCCTTTTGATTTACTTAGGGCTTTGACCTGCCAGCGGAGCGTTGATCTAAAAGGATGCAGGCTTCTTAGAACAAGACTACAAGGTTCCTGAAAATATGTTTTTAATTTCCGTTACCTAGAATCCTAATATTTAGCTGAAATTGTAATTTCTACTGGGGTTCCAAATCCCTTAGAGAAGAGATTCTGATGTTCGGAAATGTGACCAATTGAGCTTGATGAGGCTGCATCTCAGCTCTTTGGGCCTCCGTTGGTCCATTTTATCTAGGTAGTGTTGAATCGCGATTAGTACGGGGGTCCCCAATAAAGTAAAGATTATGTGAACAAATATTCTGGACCCCCTATTCGATTTTGGAGCGTCCCAATAAAGTACAGTTTTTTTCTGCCAACAAAGATTCTCAGAAAGGTTTTGACGAGGCCAAAATGCTTTTGATTTCAAAGCCGGGAATTTAGATGAAAAGCACAGGCTCTATTGCCTCTCGAATCTGGAATCTGACGCCACAAAAAGCAGTTGATTTCTGATTAGACTGTGTATTCGAAAAGGCTAGGCAATCGAACTCCAAAGGGGGTAGTCCAGCACAGCTTCTTATCCTCAATGATAGCAATAACTATGGGACCAAGAACCTCTTAGATTTAAAAGGCCTGGGCTTCAAACCAAAGGCCAGGCTCAATTGCCTTTCGAAGCTGGAACCTGATACCACCAAAACACTCCATTTCTTACTAATCGAACAGGCTAGGCAATCAAATTCCAAAGGGGGTAGTCCAGCAGAGCCCCTGATACTCAATAATACAAATGATTTGGGCCCGCTCCATAATGTAACGGCTTTTTGGCCGGGTTAATGGTGAGGCCACTCTAATTTGTTTTAAACTGTTCATAGTTCAATTCTTAATAGGTTTGAATTGATTTAAGAGAGATTTTCTGTGAGTTTAATGGGATCGTAATTGCTTTTAAGAGGCGTTCAGCCAGGCCTTTTATGATAAAGGCCGAGGACGCTACCATTCCTATTCTCTTAAAAGCTAAACTGAGCAAGTCCTTTTGAATAGAAGCCAGAGGATCCCCAATTCGTTTTGAGACCTTTTCAGTATAGAGGCTCCCCTTTTTGTTTGGGGGGAGGGCTTCACTAATCAGGCTCCAACATCGCGTATGGCTTTTCAGGGTGTAAGAGCAACTGTGTTATTCCATGGCCTCAGATGCCTCCATGCGCGGAAGGTGGGTTGATGCGCATGACCAGTTCCAAAATGGGAGCAACAAAGCCCAACACATAAACTCCCCCTAATCTCCCCAAGGTCCCTTCACCCCAATATCCCTAAAGTCCCTTCCCACAAATATCTCTAAGCCTCTTCCCCCAAATTTCCCCAGACTGTCTTCCTCTGTAACCTTGCAGGTCTCAGGGCTCGTCATCCTTGCGCGACATGAATCACAGCCCGCATTGGGGGGCTTCAGGCTTCAGACCGTGAACAACTCAGGGACCTACCCTCCCCCAACTAAAGGGGGTTTGTGCCCAGAGGGACCATACCACTTAATTAAGGAATATACCCAGGGGTCCCTGACATGATTTAAGTTATATTCTTCCAAATTCGATTAAGGGGTATTGGGCTCCCTGTTTAAGGTTTTCAGGTTTTAGAGGTGAAGGATGTTGGATTTAGGGATTAGGGCTGCTAAGTTTTAGTAACATATGCCCTCACCTATGCTAATGGAACCCCATATGATACAGCCTTCATTTTGAAAGGGCAGTCGTCTTTATGGAGCCTTTTCTGTGGTTCTTCCTTACCTTAGGACAGTGTATGTCAGGAAATATGGCTCCCTAGAAAGGCCTCCTCTCTTGCGTGAGCAATATACGCGACAACCGCAGGGTAGCTCTCAAATGAGGCCTTCGCTTGTAGAATCAAAGGGAGCTCATGGGTGCCCTGATGAAAAGCCCACAGAATTTGAGAATAAGCCACCTGTGGTTTGCGATCAAAAGTCCTACTCGTAGCAAATATTTCTGGCACACGCTGCAAACTTTATCATCATCATCATCATCATCATCATCATATGACCGTAACAGCCGTACCAGCAACAGCAAGACGAGCATCAGCATCATCCACAGGAATCACCAAGATGCCGCCTGCTAGCACTGTGATGGAAGAGAGGCAGTTGCGCGAAGAGTGGAACATGGCTGTGTGGCCATGACATTCTGGATTTCGGCGTTATCTTATCACTCGGTTTGGGCTCACCAGCGAAACTGCGCGCAGAACCCTAGAGCGTATGTGGCTACCTTTCCAGTGCCTCCAAAGAGACTTGCAATGCCGTTGCATGTTGCTGAAGTCTGGAGACTGAGCCAAAGCGGAGACATAAGTTGAAAGTCCTTACCCTACGTGAGCTATAGTCTAAACTCCTTAAAGGGGGTTATATAGGGGATTATATAGGGGACTACTACAGGGGTGATTAAGAGGGATACTAGGAGTTTAGACTATAATCCCTATAATCCCCTACATAACCCTATATATAGCAGTTTCCATTTCATTTTCCATTTTCTTTTCCATTTGATTCTCCATTATTACGGGGGATACTCTCACATCCCAAAGCAGGGACCTAGAGCCTTAAAGCCTCCTCGAAGCCCACCCGAGGAGAAGGCTCGGATTGTGTGTGAGGAGTGGCGCGGGCCTCGGCGTGCCGCTGACACCAAAAAAGCCTGCATGACCCCCCTAAGGGTTATAGGGCCGGTCAAAGGATGTTGCGGTATATGTAGGATGTAGAGTTCAGGGTTCAGAGTTAAAGGCAACTATAGCCCAGCTTGGGAATTCGGGAATCTGGTATCCTAGTAGCTAAGAAAGAGTAGCAAGCATGGCAAACAGGGTCCATGCTGAGAAAATATTAGTTGCCCTTGTGTTAAAGGTGTAATGGTATTTATGTTTCGTATGATAAAGACCTTTCCATCATGATGCTTCCTTGCCAACAGGGGCTAGCAAAACAGGCAACATGGCAATGAACAATGTGGGACGTTGTTGAAATTGGGCCTGGGACGTAATGAAATACTTCTGCTGGATCCGAAGACGGATGGTTTCGATATTTAGTATGGGGCTCAGTTCTGCGACTACAGCGCTTCAAAACACAAATTCGATGTTTGGGTATCAGTACCTCTTAATACGTATTCCCATGACAGTTACAAGGGGAGTACTAATAGTAGATCAGTCTTGAGGATAGCAAATTAAAGGGCCCTTCATCCCATCTTTGCAGAATGTATCTCATGCGTGGCTTCCTGCACAAGACGACAAGACGCAGATCAAGAGCTGATTGCGCCCGAAATCCTGAAGGCATGCGGACCACGATAGTCTGGTTTGAGGTCAGGCTAGCAGCTTGCTTGGGAGGCTGGTGGTTGATGCTTCACCATTCTACCTCGATGGCCCCGAAAGCGGCTACGTAGAACTCACAACAGCAATAAGAGCAACAATAGTGATAATAGTAGCACTAAGAGTAAAGTAGTAGTAGTAGTAGTAG